CCAAACTGCGAGCTTCAGTCTGGCCACGTGAAATTGTTAACTCCGCTTCAGTGAACCTGGGTCGACTTCAGTTTAACCCTTGGGTGTTTTCAGCGAATGTGGTCCCGGGCAGTCCGCCCCCTGTTGTTTTTTGGAAGGGCCGTTTCACACCACGATCGTCGGCCGTTATTGACTCTTCCTTTTTTGCCTCCTCCCTCTCTGTCTGCAGGAAAGCCACTGGTCCAAAGAAGGCAAAATCGGACGGCCAGTGACGGGACATCCTCAACACGCACCCCCTCCCCCTTCTTCCTGACTCAGACATTTGCTGACCCCCACCTCCACATCCACACCCCTGCCAACAACCCCGCCCTCGCCCCCAAAGAACTCTGCCCCCGACCCCCCAAACATGACCCTGGTCCCTACTGCTGCCGCCCCCTGCCACTCTCACCGCACAGCGGCAGTGTCCGGCTCTGTGCGGCTGCCTGGGCGCCCCGTGCCCTGAGGAGGAGGAGGAGGAGGAGGAGGAAGCACCGGGACAAGAAGGGGGTGGACCCCAGCCGAAGGTTTATATAGGTGCCATGGACGCCTTATCGCAACTTGTATTTTTATTTTTATTGTTGTATTATTATTATTACTACTAGTAGTTCTACTCCTTGAGCAAGACAAACGAGAAGCACATTTTTTGTTTTCGTTGAGCTTTTTCGTGTTGGAAACCAAAACGGCAGACGTTTTCCTCTGCCGCCGCCTCGGGGGACTCACGTCACGCAATAAGGATTCCTCGTGCTTTCCTTTCTTCTTCATGGCAGCGTTGCGAGCTCCTTTTTTTTTTTGTTAATATATTTTTTGTACATTTTTTTTTCTTCTCTGCCTCCCTCTGCCTGCACCTTCTCCGTGGGGAGGGGGGGGAGGGGGTGTGCGCGTGCCCCCCCTTTCAATGCAGGGAAAACGGGGAAAAGAAGGAAAAAAAAACTTGAGCTGTGAATTTCGCTTCAGGAGATCGTGTTTTTTTTTGTCAGTTTTGAGGTGTGTGTGTTTTTCTGAGGGGTGTTGGGGGTGCCCCGAAGAAGGAGACAAGAACAGGTGTGCGTGATGGGCCAGGAGTGGGATTTAAACTTTCAAAAATGGAAAAGGCAAAAGTAGGGGGGGGGGAGGATTTTTATTTGGGAGTTTAAAAGCACTTGCTACGAAACAGAAGAGGAGGAACTTGGGAGAATCAGCTGATTTCTGAGAGAGACGCTTTTGGTGGGATGGTGTGGACTGAGCTAATGGTGCTGTCTCCCGGTGTGATGTCATCACTGTGCGCCCGCTTCAGGGGGAGCTGGAAGGACACTGCAGAGGAGGGGAAGGGTCTCCTGAAGCAGAGGGACTTAGATGGGCGTGGCTCTCTTGGTGCCACGTTAAAATCTCGCGATGCCTTCCCGAAAAAAATAAACAAGCTGTACAGCAGACGTTTTCCATTTAGTTTATTTTTGTATTAATTTTTTAATAGCTTCTGCCCTCGTGTGCGTGTGGATGAGGTGTATGCGCTTCCGCACACCTGTATTTTTTAAACCTCATGTTATTATTATTTTTGGTCCTTAACTGTTGATTCATTTCCCTGTTGTTTCCATGTTTGGGGGATGAGAGAGTGGGGGGGTGGGGACACAGCACAGTACAGGAGCTCTTCTTACAAGAAGTCTTTACTAAATGCTGATGCGTTTTTGCTCATTGTTTTTATTGAAAGTAGAAGGTTTTTGGTCGGAAAGCAAATATGATAAATAGCAGAAGAAGAGCAGGACTGAAAAACTTTGGGGATGGGGGGAGCAGAAGATTTGCGCAGCGTGATTTGCTGCTTTTCCTTGAGGACGCTCAGCCTGTTAGCAGCGTGGGACAGGGCAGGACAGCAGCTGACAGGACGTCCGCTCCCTGCCTCTTCCAGTATCGCTCTGCTCGCCGCCTGCCTTCGCAAACATTGTTGAGGGGAAGGTGTTTTTTTTTCTAACCCGTTTTAGAGACGCTGCAAAACAAATCAGTAGGACTTTTTTTTTTTCCCTGGATTGGCGGAAGCTGTCGAGAGAGAAAATTGGATGGAAAAACAATAAAACTGTATTTACTTTAGTTTTTTTTTTGGTTCTGTATTTTACAGGAATAAAAGGGGGAAAGGGGTGGGTCTTGTGCATCGTCATGTGACTGAGAATGTTTCGGGGGCACCTTGTGTACGTGTTTCTGACTGGAGGGGAGGGATATGTTTTTTTGGGCGGGGGGTTACAAGGGGCATTGGCCTAGCCAAAGTTCAGGCTCAATTGTACATTAGATCCTTCATATAGCAAGAAGAAGAAAAAGATCTTGGCCTTTTTTATATAAATTACCTGTAACAAAGTTTTTACATGTTGGTCATCTCTTGATTGCCTTTTTGTGTCTTGACATATAAAACAAAAAGAAATATCTACTGTCTTACTTCTTGGAGTGATGTATTTCTTAGCGGACTCTGATGTCTTTTTTTTTTTTTTTTTTTAAGGGCGGGGTCCGGGTGGCGGGACATTTTTAATAGTGGAAACGCTTGATTTGTAAAAGAATACTCCTGCAGCCTGTCATCAAAGATCTATTTTCTTATGTCTGCAATGTGGGATTGATCTTCCAAGGTTAATTCTCAATCCCCTTTCCGCCTGCTGTACTTGTAGTCACCTTTTTTAAAAGGAAGTGTGAGTCTGTGGGTTTTCTTCCATTGCGTTTCCCCAGTGTGGAGCTGCCTGTGGTCAGTCAGCTGAACTTGCAGTCCACACAGGGAAATATGAGGACTGAGCACCTGAGCACGCCTACCCCCCCCCCCCCCCCCCAGCAGCGCCAGCATCACGCATAAGAGAGCTTATAATCTCCTGGGGGCAACAGAGGGTGCAGTGCTCAGGAAACAGTCGTTCACGTGTGTCCAAGTGGTACTTGCTCGCCAAGGTCCACTCCGGTGGTTGGGGGAGCATAGTGGCAAAAGGATTGCATTGCTGCTTCGCAGTAGAGAGGCCCTGGTGTCTGGCTGGGTGGAGTTTCTGTGTTCTCCCGGTGTTGGCGTGGGTTTCCTCTGATGGCTCTGGTTTCCTCCTCCAGTCCAAAGACGTACGGGTGGGTTAATTTTCCTTTGGGGGGAAAATTGGCCTTGCTGTGAGTGGTTGCACGTGTTTGTGCTTGTGTCCGTGTGTGCGTGTGCCTAATGATGGACTGGTGTCCCATCCAGGGTGTACCCTGCCTCATGCCCACTGCATGCTGGGACAGGCTCTGGCTCCCCCGTGCCCCTGAATTGGAAGAAGCAGTTGGAAACTGGACAGATGCAGTGGGTAATGGGGGTCACAGTCTGGTCAAGTCCGAGTTACAGGGATCAGGATATCTCTACAGGGGGAGTTACGGGGCAGCACTTTCTACACCAGATGTGTGCATTTACTTCAGTATGCAGTATTTACAAGAGCCAGTCTTTGAAGATCATTTCAAAGATGGAGAAAGCTGGGAAAATTGTGCACCAGGAGCAAAAAAAAATAAAAAATGGATGTCCTGCTTCTTCAGCAACTGGAGTGAAGCAGTATGTTCGACAAATGGCTTTGAACAGTGGATAAGGGGGGGGAAGGGCTCACTTTTTTTAAAACAAAAGTAATGCCCAAGTCTAAATATGACTTTGAATCGCAGGTCTTTGGTATTGGGCACAGAAATTCGTGGTAGCAAGGGGCAGTGGTTTTGTTTTTGAAAACTGGTACTTGGCCTTTTAGAACTTCTTGAACTGAAGGAGTCCTGTACTTGCCCAGTGGTTGCCGGTGCTGTGGGCCTCTGCACTGAGAGATTTTTATTCCTGGGATGGTTGTGCCACATGCTTCAAATTCAAGCACAGAAAACTGTACAAGGGGGTGGGGCTAGAAATCATATTTGTTTTTAGGAAAAGGTTTATTCTGAACATCGGAAGGGGCCTGTGTGTCTGAGGGAGCTTATGATGGCAAGTAATTCCTTACAGGGATATAGTGCTTCTTTAACACTCCACTCCACTCAAAGCACATTACTGGTAATGGGGATCCCCTCCACCACCACCAGTGTGCCCCACCTGGATGATGTGACTACAGCCTGAGTGCACCAGTCCTCTCCCCACACACCAGCTCTCAGTGGGGAGGAGAGCAGAGTGATGAAGCCAGTTCAGAGAGGGGGGTTATTAGGAGGCCATGACTGGTCAAGGGCAGATGAACGTTTGGTCAGGACGCTGGGATACTGGCTAGGCTCATACCTGCTGACCTGTGGGTTGCTGGTTGTGAGTTGCAGGGTGATAAAAGCTGCTGGCTATAGCGATGTAGCGATGATTGCTTGTGTCTCCAAACGTGATTAACGGGGAGGGGGGCTCCAATTCAACTGAGTGATGTATGGAAACTGCTTCACCAGCTGGTTTCAGGGGGAACCATAGAGAGGCCAGATTGTTCAAGCCCAGAGTGGCACTTAGCCTGGAGATCTTTCATGATGGAGGCATCAGGTGCTCGGTTTAATCTCTCGGGCAGAAGACAGAACCTCCTGCAGGACGGGGTTCTGTCACACTGGGGCAGTGGCTTGGTCATTCTTATTCAAAGGAAAGAGCACCCCCCCCCTTACTGGTCCACCACCACCGTGGACAGCAGCATCCATATTTTTTATCGCTGTCTCCCGTCCCTGTAATAGCCAGGCTTGGCTCAGTCTATCTGATGAGATCGGGGTATGAAGGTTACGAAGGTGCTTAGAATTAAGAATTACCTCTAAAGCTTAAAATGTGACTTTTTCAGCCAATCTGCTTTTCGAATGACTTATTAAACTGCTGAACCAGGGCCTCTTCAGGATCCCAGATAAGCATCCCAATTTTGTCATTGACTTATCTTTCGAGAGTTGCGAGGTGACGCACTATGATATTTGAATACAATTGACAGAGGTGCTTGATTTCTTCCAAAATACCCTTGAGGTTCATCCTCTGAAGGGATAATATTTTAACTTTACTGATAATAACCCTTATGGAATTGCAGTATTTGCAACAGCAAGTTAGTAAGCAAAGTGGGTCGAGAAAAAAGTTTAATTTGAAAGTTTAGGCTTAAACAGCAGGACTTAGATGACATGTTCAGGTAAATCTAAAGTCTGAATGGAAAAGTCTGCATGCTAGGTATAAATCACTATGTTGGAACACATTTAAACATTTCAGCTATCACAATGCAGAAATGAACATATTTCCATCCATTGTAATGAAAACCTATTTTGACATGTGGCAGTGCAGCATGGTCAATTAATATTAACTACCTCCTATGTGACTAATGCATTTTTTATCTCTATTCTCCAGAAAGCCAAACTGGTTAAATCCTAGAGTTATGTGGAGGCACTCGTTAGTCCTACAACTAATTTAGTATATAGAAACCTTGAAATGAATATGGGAAAGGCATCAGAAAATAGAGGAACTTAATAAAAATAAATGGAGAAGTGGAGGAACAGAGAGAAGCTGCTTCCAGGTGAAACGCTTGAGGGCTTCTTTTTTCAAGGATTTAATTAACGTCCATCATTCAGTGGGCAGCAGTTCCACGAGCTTCAGCCCCAGACTGCCGTCCTGCGAGAAAGCTGTAGCACCTCCAGTCCGCCAGGGGGCAGCGTTGTCAGCAGACGCACCGGCCCTCCGGTTTCTCCTCTGGCGTTCTGGAGGCAAGCTGGAAATAGTCCCCAGGGGTCTCAGAGCTGTAGTCCTTGAACTGCAAGAGACAGTAACACGGGTAAGAGTGAATGCACTTTTATGCGGCCAGTTGAAGTTGTATCTGGGGCCAGCACGAGAGACCGTCTTTCACTGGTAATGAGCCCCGTGGTCTTTTGTGCTCGACTCTCAACTCAAACGTAGCAGTCGTCTCTTTTTACAGCTTCCATCGTCAGCTAACGACACCCGAGCGACATCTGTACCGGGCGTACACCCGCACCCTCGCACTAAAGCACGGTGCCGGCAGCTCCGATACAACTCGTCGGCGCAAGTGTGGCAGGAACTGGTGCGAGCAGGCGTGTGTGATATTCCACCCTGCCGCAAGGAGAGCGCAGCTCTGGAACCAGGCTCTGGAACCGGGCTCGAGAAGAGCCGCCTGATACACCACTTATTTGTCTCAAGAAGAGCCTCCTGTTCTCAGTTTTAGATGCACTCGCTCGTAGTTTCCACTTGCGTCTGCTGGTTCGGGTTTCACTGCTGGTTCTCAAGAAACCCGCAGTTTGACTCTGTTGATGCCTTTGAGCAGTGTGAACGCCTGGATCAGGTCTCCTTGTAGTCGATAATAAAGAGGTTCGGTCCCTTCAGCCTGTCGGGACAGATCACTCCCTGAAGCCCTGGATGGTGCCTGGTTGCTCTTCTCCGGACGGATTCTGGGGTGGTCCCAGGAAGGGAGAGGCTCAGACTGGACACGACCCCAGTGAGGATGAAGTGGTTCTGCAGATCACACGTAAAACATAAGCCGGTCTGGGACTCACATAGTGCAGCGCAGCTCTGACGGCGCTCAGGAACGGCTTGTCCACGTCGATGTCCTCCTTGGCGCTGACTTCAAAGTACTCCGCCCCCAACTCCGCGCACCAGTCCTGTGCGCGCTTTCCCGTCACCTGCGTCCATAAAGACAGAGCGCCGTCGTCATTTCCAACATCACCGACTGTCTGGCACCCTCAACAGCTCCATCACCCCCTCCCAGGCTGCCAACCTTAAATTTGGAGCATGTTCCAAACACCCGCCACTCTTTGTGTAAGGATGTGTTTTGTGTAATAACCGAGTGTGAAATTGTGCATTATCTGTACCCCTAAGAAGTATATAGACTTGGATCAACCCTCCACTCAGTTATCTTTGTTCTAGACCGAAGAGACTCAGTTCCTTTAACGTGACCATGCATGAACGTGGACATACGACCAGGAAATAGCCTTGTTAATTTTCTATGAACTCTCTAATGGTGTAATACCGTTTTTGACCACAACCGAACACAATATTCTAAATCTGGTCTCTCTACCTTCTTTGAAAGCAGATGCAGTTTTATTCAGGGTCGCAGCAGGTGTGGGTGTGTGCGCGGGCGCGACGCTGACCTCTCGGTTGTCCAGGTCGGTCTTGTTGCCCACGACGACGAAAGGGAAGCGCTGGGGGTCGGGGGGGTCGGCCTGTACCATGAACTCGCGCCTCCAGGAGTCCAGGGCGGCGAAGGAGGCCGCGGAGGTGACGTCGAACACCAGGAGGCAGCAGTGGGCACCGCGGTACAGGGCGCCCCCTAGGGACTGGAATCGCTCGGTCCCGGCCGTGTCCCAGATCTGGAAACGAACACACGACTGGGGCACGCTGTCACACGGCAACCAATACACGCGGGGCACCCTCTGTCCAACACACTGATGGGGGGGGGAGGTGTCCATCATCACCGAAATTCCGGTAAACTGCCAGTCATCTCCTCTCAGCCCCCAAAACCGCGTGATGTGAGGAATATACATGTGCGTTCTGGATTTTTGTACTTATTCTTTATAACAGCTACCATCAGCACAGTCGAGGAAAGTTGTCCCTGTGCCTCTGTCTTCCTAAGTGCACCAGCTCTTTATTTCAAGTGTCGTGAACATATTGTTTCAAGTTTGCTGAAGCTGACTAAATGCCAACCACACCCACTGAAAACACCCGACCTCCCCGCCACAGGGCCCCGCAGATACTCCTGAATCTGAAGCCGTGGGTTTCCCCACTGTCGCGGGGCACGGCCAGCGTTTCCGAGTTTACAGAAGGAGACTTTGTGCGTTAAGGCCTGGGGTTGGCTGTGCTCATCAGACACGCACGGTCCGTTAGCGTTCTGCAGAAGGCAGGTTACCACCTGGATGGGACACCAGTCCGTCGCAGGACACAGACGTGCGCATTCACACTCACGCCAGGGTCAGTTTTCCCCGGAAGCCCATTAACTCACCCGTGTGTCTGCGGACTGTGGGGAGAACATACAAGCTCCACACAGACAGCACCCCAAGGCCCCAGCGGTGCTTGGTCCCAGTCTAACCACCATGTCACTGTTGCGCCCCAAAAACGGGCACCTCTGAACCCCAGACAAAGCTTCACTTAGTCCGTGAAGGCGCCCTTAGGAAGTGAGAGTGCAGCTGGTGTGGGGGTCTCCCGAGACCGGGGTAGGGATCCCCGGAGGGAGAGCAGGGGCCGATCGCCCGAACGCCACGCGTACCTGCAGGCTGACCGGCCTGTCGTCCACCGTGATGTCCTTGGTGAAGAAGTCCGCCCCGATCGTGGCCCGGTACAGGTTGGTGAAGCGCCGGTTCACATACTGGTTCATGAAGGAGGACTTCCCCGCCCTGCACAGAGAAGGAGCCCCCGTCAGCGACGCTCTCGCCATCGCCCCCTGCAGGCGGGCGCCCTCCGCCACGCCCACGGCCCCGCAGGTTACTTTCCCCCCAGCTCCTGTGAGCGTTCGTCGTGCGAAAGCACTAAATCCATGATTCCTTTATCGATCCGTCTCTTACCCCCCCGGTAGGTCAGTTCTACAGGATTCTCACCGAGACCCACGTGTGCACCAGAGCTCGTCCTGAAGCAGCACCCCTGAAGTAGTGCTGCACATGGGATTCGAACCCCTGACCACAGACCCTCCCGCACAGGCCTGGAGTCTCACAACCCCGATCGACAGACCTTTGTAGGGATGCAAGGAGTCACAGTGCAGTCCAGTGAAGGATGCTCTCTCTCACACTGCCCCGAATTACAGCAGCGTTACAGAGTGTTTTATAGTCCGAGTTCGGCTCTGGTCACCCTACGTTATGACCATGAATGGGTGTTGGAGTGACCATTACCACAGTGCTTCCACTTCTGCCCCAGGGCTATTCCTGATCCTGTTATCCCTGAGGGGTCACGTACAGCACCAGGTGTCTGTTTAAAACTCACACAAGCCGGGTCAGGGGTCAGGGGTCAGGGGTCAGGGGTCAGACTGCTACACCTTCCCCCATGGGACCCCCTCCACCCCCACCGGGGCGACACCCAGAGACGCACCGCTCCCCCGGCTGAGCAAAGGGGGGCTCTGGAGACACCAGACAGTTCTAACCCACGGGAAAACGATCAAGGACGCGCTGATCAACGCTCTTCCTTTTAAGAGGAGAAGCACTGATTACGTATCTGGGTCGTCAGATTATCATCTCCTGCAAAGGACAGCACTCCCTGCGGCCCTGGGGCAATGGCTTGGGAATTCTTGACTGGGGGGGAAGAGCGCCCCCTACTGGTCCACTGACACCATTTCAATAGTTCCTTACACTTACATAGCACTTTTCTGGACACTCTCCTCATAGCGCTTTACAGGTACTGGGGATCCCCTCCACCCCCACCAGTGGGCAGCCCCACCTGGATGATGCACCAGTCCTCTCCCCACACAGCAGCTCTCAGTGGGGAGGAGAGCAGAGTGATGAAGCCAGTTCAGAGAGGGGGGTATTAGGAGGCCATGATTGGTAAAGGCCAGGGGGGGAATTTGGCCAGGACACCGGGATAACACCCCTACTCTTATCGAGAAACATCCTGGGATTTGTAATGATTTTTAATGACCACGGAGACTCGGGACCCTGGTTGTACGTTGCATCTCAAGGACAGCGCGTTTTTAAGCAGCAACCTGGATTTCCCCCTTCCGGAGTTCTCCTGTTCCCAGGACCAGACCCTATACGCATCAGAAGTGGTCAATAATGATACAATAACGCACTGAACTTGTTTTCAGAGGTTCTGAACTCGTTTAAAATTTCAGATCCGTCGTCATGAGCACTTCTGTAGTTCCACCTGTGTCCGCAAGGCGGCGCTAAAGAGTTACAGATCCGTTGCAAAAGAGTTATTTCTGCGCGCAGGTACGCAAGTCTTAAACTTGAAACTCAGCGCCTGTCGCTCGGATCGCTGAACTTCAAGCTGAAAAGCGCGCTATTATCTTGGTGAGCATGGCTTATCACCTACAATACAGCCGTGCTAAAGAAAATGTATAACTTCTTTTTTTTTTAGACGTAATTAAGCTTAATTTACTTTTCTAACGACCGGTGCCACGGTGTCACTTTCTCAGGGCAATTTCTGTATCGGACAGATCCTTCTCTGCCGCGAGAGGAACAGCTCGGTACGTAAGGCTGTCGAGTTGGAAATGAATTCTGTAATTTTTGCATTTTTGCCCTAAAACCCCAGAAACGTACAATATAAACTTAATTAAGGGGAGGTGGGGCTGGAATCGAACGAGTTCCGACGTCGTTCATTAAGATCCCAGCTGGAGGGGTAATGGTGAATCAGGCCACACATTCCGTCTCACCTGAGATACAAAACTACACCCAGAAACCACACCGGTAGCCAAGGAGGGAACCCAAGGCCCTCGCCAGAAAGTGCGCTTAATGACAGCATTAATAGGCATCCCCGGTCTCACGGAGCAGCACCGCGACACAACTCGATAGCCGGTCGGAGCAGCTCTCGGACCCGCTGTGGCAGAAACTCACCCCGAATTCCCGAGCAGGATCACCTTGAGATGCGGCTTCTGCGCGTGAGACATGCCGCGGGTGCCGTCCGTCCGTCCGCGAGAGCGGCCGCGCCCGGCGGCGTCTTATCTCGAGCCGCTGGCGGATGTTGGCGTCAGGCGACCGCGTCCGCTGTCCGTCTGCGGGGCGGAGGAGCGGGATGGGTGTTCTCCCTCCCTCCCGCTTTCGTTTACATAAAATAAAGAGCTCTTATCCCCCCCGAATAAAATACGTTTGTCGCTTGTCAAGTGAACGACGTGATCTTAAGGTTTTACACGGCAGAACGGAGGCGAGCGCGTTTTTAAATGAGCGTCGACGGGCGTGCTAATCAGTGTGCAGAGGCAGACGGGTATTAAGAAGACTAGCAGCAGCCCGATCTCATCGGAGCTCAAGGCCTGGTCGGGGCTGGGATGGAAGACCTCGGAAGAAACACCAGGTGTCTGCTGTAAGTCGTGTTGCTGGTGGACCAGTAGGGGGCGATCTTTCCTACCGGACCCCCAGTCTCCAAGCCGGTGCCCCCAGTGTGGCGACCAGGCACACTTTTGGTGCTGGTGCTGCAGGAGGAGCTGTCCTTGGGACTGGACGAGACGCCACCCTGAGTCCTGACTGCTTGGTCGGGGAGTTGGGGTGTTAACTGTGCTAAAGTACATTCTGGGTTTGCACTCTCTGGCCCCTTAGATCAGTCTCTCTCTCCTCCCCTTGATCTGCAGTGTCTTGAATGACCACTGTGTGTCTCCGAGGTGGGGTCACTGGTGCAGAATGACCGCTGTGTGTCTCCCAGGTGGGGTTACTGGTGCAGAATGACCACTGTGTGTCTCCCAGGTGGGGTCACTGGTGCAGAATGACCACTGTGTGTCTCCCAGGTGGGGTCGCTGGTGCAGAATGGCCGCTGTGTGTCTCCCAGGTGGGGCTGCTGGTGCAGAATGGCCACTGTGTGTCTCCCAGGTGGGGTTACTGGTGCAGAATGACCGCTGTGTGTCTCCCAGTTTGGCGGAATTGCTGCCTCACAGCGCTGGAGGCCCTGGGTTCATGTGGGGAAATTTAATGTTTAACGGCTTTATCTGTGAAGCTGTAGCACAGAGTAAACACCGTGCCCTCAGAGGCAAACAAGCGACACCGAATCCGAGGTTGTCTTCTCGGTTGCTGAGCTCCGGGGTTGTCTCACCCGTTTCCGACCGCGCTGTCGGGGAAAATAAGTTGAAACCCCTGTAAATATATATATATATATTTTGATACAGCGCTTCACCGCCTGCTTGCTGGCTAAGGGTCTCGATGCGATGATATTGGCACCTTCCTGCTGGCCCTGTGTTGAAGAAAGAGGTTAGAACACGCAGGTATAATGCTGTAGTGACCTGTTTTTGCCAGTGTCAAGTGTATTTCGTGCCACAACAGAAACCCCCTTTTTGAAATCATGTGTTTGTTCATTAGGGTGTTTTGGGAGGAGTGAAAAGTGTCTTAAATTTCGTGGTCTTTAGTTAAGAAGTTCGGGAACTGCACCTCGACGCAAACGCAGATAATAGTAATAGTTCTATGATAATGTATTATACGAATATTGTAACGAATACTGCGAGCGAAGGGACAGCGGTAAAATCCCGTGTTATGATGTGTCATCAGAATAAAAAGCTACCTGGCTACAGAAGCCAGAGAAATGCGCCCCCTGGCGGCCATGCCGCGCCTTCCCGCTGGCCCGCGGTAACTATGGAAACCTCTCCAAGGCTGCGGAGAGCTACTGCTTGTTTCCAGTCCTAGCTGAACGCCATGGGACAGAAACCGAGTTTCCCCTTACAAAACTGGATCGACAGCGCCGTAGCTGATCAAATGAGGTTCGGCTTATGACCGTTTGTAATAGTTTTCTAAACGCCAGGTGAGGCGCGGCCTTCCAGGCGTCTCCGATCCCCGGTGTTTCCTGCGGTTGTGCCCGATGGATCAGTACAGCATACTGGGCAGGATCGGGGAAGGAGCCCACGGCATCGTTTTTAAAGCCAAGCATATTGAGGTATCATTCATTCGTCTTATTATTTACATTTTTGCCATTTAATTTTCTTTTTAAAGGTTTTGGGAGCAAACGGCGTAGGAATGCCATTCGATCAGATAACCGAGAAACATAAAACCATCGAGCGATGCACTGGTTGAGATTGTTTTTATACGTATAAATATCTTCTAAACTATGTTCAAAACCATTAGGTAAGAGTATTACTGTTGAAAGTTTTTTTTTTAATTCTTCAATGCATTTTAAGTTTGTGTTGTCGTCTTTATTCTTTTATTTAACTCCCTCGATACAACGGTTGTTAATGAGTCATTTTGAATAAAAGTGCCTGCTCTGACGCTAACGCCCTTAGAACTGCCAACAGTTCAGATGCGAGAAGTGCTGAAACCTGTTTCCTCTCCTGAATTCATCTGCGTGTTCTGTGGCCGGGACAGAGAGCCACAGTCCAGCCGGTTTTCTGGGTGTCCTTTAAAAATCATCAGTTTCCGCAACCCTGAGCGATTCGTCTGGACTCGTGAAGCAGCTAAGAGGGCACCTGAAGCTCAAGTCCCACCAGCCTGTAGCTCTCAAGAGCCCCAGGTGCTCCTCGAAAGTGGTCAGAATGTGCTCTGTGGGCATCATTGAACTGCACACATCTCCTGTTATTTAGGTGGAGTTCCTCCCTTGTTTCACACACTGCTCCCAGGCTGCTCCCCGGCCTGGTGCCTCACACGTCTGGAAGTTCCTGCGGGACACTGGCTTTGCGCGCTGTTAACGGATTCGAATTCCCAGATTCCCAAACCGGGGTCTCAGACTCAGTTCCTGGAGAGTCACAGTGTCTTCTGTTCGGTGCTCCTACCTGAGCAGGCAATCGGACGGTTGACCTAGGTATTTTCTCAGTCATGCAATGGGTATTTCATCTGAAGGTTATAAAGCATTGTAGCTGATCATTCAAAACATTCCCTTCTTGGCCAGCAGCTGTGTCACCCTGCAGCTGACAGCTGGCTGCCCACTGGAGCTCAGCAGGAGTGCGACTGGTCAGTACCTGGATGGGAGACCTCCTGGGAAAAACTGAGGCTGCTGCTGGAAGAGGTGTTAGTGGGGCCAGCAGGGGGCGCTCACCCTGCAGTCTGTGTGGGTCCTACTGCCCCAGTATAGTGATGGGATACTATACTGTAAAAAAAAAAAAGTCTGTCCTTCCGATGAGAGATAAAACCGAGGTTCTGACTCTTGACCAGTCATGGCCTCCTAATAACCCCCCTCTCTGAACTGGCTTCATCACTCTGCTCTCCTCCCCACTGAGAGCTGCTGTGTGGGGAGAGGACTGGGGCATCATCCAGGTGGGGCTGCACACTGGTGGTCCAGAAAAGCGCTATATAAGTGTAAAGATTATAATTCTTATTCTTATTCGTATTGTTCATTAATGGTACAATTGCCTGTACACCCTGGATTCCACCCTGGAGTATGATAGAAGTGTAGCAATTAAGCCTTGAATGAATTAGACCAAACATGTAATGGAGAGCTTGGGTTTAACACGAGTCACAAGGTACTGCAGCCCTGCAGGAACTGAGTTTGAAAACGCTGTGGTAAATAACTGAAGAGTCTTTACCGGCAACCTGAGTTCGACAGGACCCTTTTCCGCGATCACGCCGGCCAGTGTCCTGCGTTTTCGGAGCAGAGCTGCGAGCCAGTTTGCAGGACAGACTCCCGTTGTGCGGAAGCTGCTGGCGACTGTTCCGAATCCCCGCGGCGCGTGAGCCGAGGAGTCCCAGGACGCGGTGCGGGGGTGGGGGCTCTGTCATCTGCGCGTGGGGCTCACAGAGGGCTCTCTTGTCTCCGGCACAGACGGGAGAGACGGTGGCCCTGAAGAAGGTCGCTCTCCGGAAGCTGGAAGACGGGATCCCCAGCCAGGCGCTCCGCGAAATCAAGGCGCTGCAGGAGATCGAGGACAACCCCTATGTGAGTTGCCTTTTCCCTTTCTTGCATCCCTTTTTCCCCCCGGGATGGATCTCCTGGGATCCACTCGGGAAGAAACCCAGCCGCCGAGGCCGGGAGAACGGCCTGGGAACGTTCCTGCGTTCTCAGGGCTGCTGGCCGAACCTCATTGACGTGTGTTGCAGACATGCTTGCAGACAGGAAGCTGTGTGTGTGTGAGTGTGTGATTTTGGCAACAGATCACCTGGCAATTAAAGCCATTCTCTTCAGCTTGTACCCTCTCTGCCATAAGGCTTTCGGCCCTCCCTTGCCAGGCGCCCCCCAGCCCTCGTCCTGGGGAGCTGCTGGGCTTCTTCAGCTCCTGCCCGGCTCTTCTCCTCCCTTCAGCCTGATTCAAAGTCAGACCGGGCAGGTGGAGCCTCATGGCTCAAAGATCGTAGGCTCAAGCCTGGGTCCTGTTGCCCGACAGCTGTGACTGAGACTCTGCCCAAAAAGGGGGCCAGGATTAGTCACCCAGGGCTCAGCAGGCCATCTCCCAGCGCGCCCTGGCTGCCCGCAAGCTTGCAGTGCCATTGGTGAGCGATGCGCCCCCCCCCCCGTCCCAGGGGCTCCCCCTGCTGCCCATCTAGAGACAGAGCGGCTCGAAGTGGTGGCGAGCTGGAGGGCCCTGTCTTACTCACGTGTTCGTTTGCCTTTAATAATAAAATTTCTCTGCCTCTTCCACCTGTCTCCCTTTCCCCCTGCACCCCCATCTCTCCCCCTCTCTCACCTTTCTCCCTTTCCTCCTGCACCCCCATCTCCCCCCTTCTCTTTCTCTCTCTCTCTCCCTCCCCCCCTCTTCCACCTGTCCCTCCCTGCCTCAGGTGGTGAAGCTGAAGAATGTGTTTCCTCACGGCACCGGCTTCGTGCTGGTGTTCGAGTACATGCTGTCTGACCTGTCGGAGGTCATCCGCAACTCCCAGCGGCCCCTGACGGAGTCGCAGGTCAAGGGTTACATGATGATGCTGCTGAAGGGCGTGGCCTTCTGCCACGAGAACTCCATCATGCACCGCGTGAGTCCCGCTCCGGGGGCTGAGGCCGGGGGTTCGACTGAGGATTAGAATGGCGTTTGGAACAAATACTTCTGGCTTTTGTTTCCCCAGAAAAGAGTCTTGGAAATACGCCTCTCGTATTTCAAGGATCGCCCTGGCCTGTTAGGGGTCATTGGTCCCGGCAGGTGGCCTGGGTTGGGTGTCATGCTGGGGTTAGGACAGAGCAGAGACGGTGTCAGTGTGGAAATCATAGCCCTTCCTTTCCCCTGCAGTTACATCCTTGCAGTAACTTCTGATTTTTAGCATTTCAGCCCCATTGTAATGAGCGAAACCACGGTCCCGTTTCGGGGCTCTGCCCCGTACCCCCTCTTTCCTCCCTCTTCTAGTGCTGGTTCTCCCCTTGCAGGACCTGAAGCCGGCCAACCTGCTCATCAGCTCCACGGGGCACCTGAAGATCGCCGACTTCGGGCTGGCCCGGCTCTTCTCCAGCGAGGGCGACCGGCTGTACAGTCACCAGGTGGCCACCAGGTGGGGCCAAACACATCAGACTCCCAGAGCAACGCTGCCGCAGGCTCTTGCATAGGAATCGTCGCCAAGGCCGTGGTATTCAAGTCTGTCACTATGTTGCATGTTGGGAGGTTGCTATAAGAAATATTCACAGGTGCTGTTCTTGGAAAAATTAGATTCCTTGCATTTATATAGTACTTTAAACGATGGGGCAGTGGTTAGCGTTGCCGCGTGGCAGCGCTGGGCCTTCTCCTCTTCCTCCGGCGGGGCCTCAGGGTTAAATAGGATCCTGCCATTTAAAGCGCCGGTGTCTGCAGGGACCTGCCCACAGCTCCTGGCCCAGAGGAACCGAAGCCGCTCTGTCCCGAGGGTCACAGCATCACGGGGGAGGGGGAGCTCTTCCTGCTCTTGTGCTTTTGTTTTATAAAAGCTTGAGACGGACGTGTTTTTAAGTGAGCATTGCTGCCACGCAGTGCTGGGGCCCCCAGGTTCAGGTGCTGTCTGCGTGGAGTCTGCATGTTCTCCCCCGGGTTTGTGTGGGTTTCCTCCAGGTGCTCCGGTTTCCTCCCCCAGTCCAAAAGCTTACTCTTGGGTTAACTGGCTTCTGGGAAAACAGGCCGTGGTGTGGCTGTTTTTCCTCTGTGTCTGCGTGTGTATCTGTGTGTGAGATCGACTGACATCCCTCCCAGGGTGTACCCTGCCTTGTGCCCATTGCTTGCCAGGAAAGCCTCCGGGTCCCCCTCTCAATCTGTTGTTTCCGTCTCGTCCTTCCAAAATGTATTAATTGCATAATTCAGTTCAGTAAGGCCTGGACAGAGGCAGGCTAAAGGTCAGGCTTAGAGGTGAAGCGAGCACCCCAGGCCCCCAAGCACCCATGAAGAGCAGGTGCACTTAACACTGTATACAGGAGGCACCTCCCTACACAGAGAGTTGCCCCACTGCCAGCGGGGAGAAGCAGAGACAGAGGTGCACTTCCTACTGCACTGTGAGAAATATGCTGGGATTAGACAAACATTCTTCCCCAAATTTACAAACCTAATCCCAGAACTCCCACACCTGCCGGAATCACAACAGGTCCCAATTCTACTGGGAGAGGGAGGAGGGAGGAGGGAGCTCAGTTGAACTGGCAGCCTGGTATGTGACTGCCTGTCCCAGCCTGAGGAACAGTGTGCCTGTCTCCCAGTAATGCTCCCTCTGTTTGAATGTAAATGTGTTATGATGTGTCTTGTGTTGTAAATGTCTGTAGATTTGATGTTAATTGTATTTGTATTGCTTTGGCAGCACCGATAGCTGGAGCAAGGGGCACAGGTGTGCTGAGCAGGCTCCTTGCATTTGTAACGTTTCTCAGGCTCCTTTTTTTCCTTGTCGAAAGAGAAGTACTCAAGATACAGAGCATACCTTTCTTCATCTGCGTTTTACTATTACAGGTGGTACCGAGCGCCAGAACTTCTGTACGGGGCCCGTAAATATGACGAAGGAGTAGATCTCTGGTGCGTATGAGACCCTCTGTTGTGCTCCAGGTTGTAGTTGTGTCCCTGAGTGGTCAGGTGATCTGCCGATCACTGCAGTAGCGTGTGTTAGTAGCCCTGCTCTGATCCCGACTTCAAACTGTTCTCACCCCTGCACTCTGGCAAGCGGTACTGCAGTATTACAGTACGGACAATGTGTTCTCCACAACAACGTGTTGTTCTTTCTGTTATTTCTGTTTATTAGGTCTGTAATGTTCCGTCTACAGTGTGTGGTGTTGTCTGATGTACTATGTGTCCTGAGAGATCAATGTGAATAAGAATTCCAATGTGCACGTACATATGGTAGTAAGCTCCTCTACCTCGACCCTGCAGGGGCTGCGTGCTGTAGCCGTGTCTAGGCCCTGTCTAGAGGGGCAGCACACAATTGAATGAGCACTGCCGGTCAGTTTTCAGATGAACAAATGGGGATTCCCTGTCAAGGATTGTTAAAAAGTTGACCATTGGAAACTTTGTTCGTTTTACAAACGCATCACAAGGTCGCCTCCTGGAGGCCTGAGGCAGAGTTCGTGATTGTGCATGTATGCGGTTTGTAACCGTGCAGCTCGTCAGGTCAGCTCAAGTCTCAAACAGCCTAAGACTTCTGAATCAGAACTAGCCTGGATGGTGTGAGCTGTGTCTGCTTGTGTGCAACATCCCTGCCTCTCTCCCTCTCTGTGTTGTGTGTGGCAGGGCGGTGGGGTGTATATTTGGGGAGCTGCTCAATAACTCCCCTCTGTTTCCTGGGGAGAACGACATCGAGCAGCTGTGCTGCGTGCTGCGGGTCCTGGGCACCCCCAACGAGAAAGTGTGGCCGGTAAGACGCACGCTCACACACGCAATGCACGCTCACACACGCAACGCATGCTCACACAGGCTCACACACACGCAACACATGCTCACACACGCAACACACGCTCACACAGGCTCACACACACGCAACACATGCTCAAACATCCAACACGCTCACACAGGCTCTTGCACATGACACATATGCTCACACACACAACACACGCTCACACAGTCTCTCACAAGCAACAAATGCTCACACACGCAACACACGCTCACACAGGCTCTCACACACGCAACACATGCTCAAACATGCAACACGCTCACACAGGCTCTCGCACACGCAACATGCGCTCACACACGCCAGACATGCTCAAACATACACTGGAACGTGCAGGTAGGTAGATACTCTCTCACATACAGGAATGGTCATACATTAGTGGCATCATATAGGGCACAGCCTTCAGGATAAAGGACTTTCCAGATTTCCATCCTTGTAAACGCACTGCAGACTACTGGATACCGTTTTAGCAGAGGAGTAACTGTTACCTGCTGCATACAAGGTGAGATCTCTTGTCTTTTCTTTCGTCTCCTGTCGATCACTTTACTTTCACTACCAGGTGTGATCCATAGGAAAAGCGAGGTGTGATCTTGTGAAGTGTAGAACCCTAGCACATGTGCACTTCGAGCAGGTGTGCTGTTGATCAGCTCTGAAAGGAACGTGCTGGCTTTGCTAAAATCTCCAGGCCTCCCTCTCCAGTTTGCTGCCTCTCGTCGGCGTCATTTCCTTCTCTCTCTGTTACAGCCTCCCCTTCTCCGTTCCAAGCTCTCATTCTCTCTCTCAATGTGCTTCTGTCCTCCCCCACCTCCTGTCTTTCTCCAGGAGATCACGGAGCTGCCGGATTACAACAAGATCACCTTCAAGGAGAATCCGCCGATCCCTCTGGAGCAGATTGTTCCGGACGCCTCTGACCAGGCTGTGGACCTGCTGAAGCGGTTCCTGGTGTACCCATCCAAACAGAGGATAACCGCCAGCCAGGTGAGAGAGAGAGACTGTGT